TGATGCTATTGTTGATGGAAAAACCATTCAATGGGAATATTACAAAAAATTTGAAGGAATGACAAGTGATGAAATAACATCCATGACAATGAAAGAGTATGAAAAGCATGAATGAGATTGTATGGAGAGAAACGCATGGCTTGTGGCTGATGATTTGAGTAATCGCTTGGACGGTGCTCCAGTGCTCAGCAGTTTTATTCATGGGTTGGTTTCACAGAAATCAGAAGATCATTTTTCTTCAACAAGGAAGAGCTTAGAGTATTCAACAATACTAGTAGTTCCACAAACAAAAACTTGCCAGGTTCTGCATATTTCAAGAAAATCAATGCTTTCATTGGTAATCATTATGTATATGGAGAACTGTTTATGGAGTATCTGAAAGGAGCATGTGAAACCTCGACTGGACAACTATGTGACTTCTGCACTAACACACCATGGGTTGGTCCTCACATGAACAGGATTCCACAGCCAATTCCAGATTATGAGAAATTACCTTCATATCACTATAGGTCAGTGTTTAACACACCAATCAACACTGATGCTGGTTTGCCATGGGATCCTGATGATTATATGCCACGAGCACAATTCGGTAAGGATTTTGCAGCTGGAAAGCGTATACTTGGCAATCCAGAAGAAGTGAAGACCTTTGCAAAAAAATATATAGTCAAGGAGGAATATATCACCCAGTATGTTCAACACTTGCAGGAGCTAGAGTGGGCAAAAGAAATCAGAACCAGAACGAGGCAAGCTGATGCAGCTGAGAAGAAGAACAAGTCGTTTGAAGATTATGCATGCCAGGAACTATTAGAAGATGGGAAACTAGGGAAACTGACAGTTGCTGAATTGAACAAATACCTGGCACATCATAATTTGCCACTTACAGGGAAGAACGCTGATAACGTTCGAACTATTGTTATGCATCTTGCTGCTATAAATGTGCCAATGGTATTCATTGATGATGAAGAAGAAGAACAGGAGATGGAAGCACCCGAAGAAATTATTGCTGAGATTGACAGTGATGACTCAGATGTGGCTATTGAAGATTTTGAATTAGATGAGATTGAGACAGGAGAAGATTCAGATTCTGATGATGACGAAACTGTTTTGTTTCAAAGTTTAGTTGATGCCCAGGTTACACGCCGTGGGAGACAAGTCAAACGTCACACTGCAAACGACTATTTATTTTACTGATTACTGAATATTAAATGTAATTTCTTCACATTTTGAATTTAAACCTGTTTCATTGCTTTTAATGTTTCAGCCAAACTGCTGGGGGGGGGGTCAAAAAAGTTTCTACTTTTATCAAGGGGGGGGACAAAAAGTTTCCTTTCATTTCCTTTCAGTCTGGAGGGGGGTCCAAAAAGTTTTCAATCCTTATATTTCCCATTTACCAATGCCCCCCCCCCCATAAATAATGACCACTCTAACCATAATGGCAAATAAGATCAGGCAGCAGAAACAAGTCAGACTGGATTCACGAATTTATAAATTACTTAAGAAGAAGAAAAAATAAAAAAATCGAAAAAACCAACAACAAAAAACCAATCCACTCAATGTTTAAAAGAAACCTTAGGAAGAGAGACAAACAATGTGTCATTCTGAGTATAAAAAACTAATATCCGTCAATGAAGTCAATAATAGGCTGAGTCAATAATAGGGAGAAAGGTATTTTAAGTTTTCATGTATATCATTCCACACCTTTACACCTTGAAATCGAATGTTAAATTTTCCATAATTAGTCCTTACCCCTTGAATTGAATAAGAAATCTTACTTGAAAGTCTGGTATTATAGTTGTGAACTTCGTTAACACGAACAAAACATTTTTCAAATGTGATCGGGAGTAAATTACTATGATATTTATGCATAGATATTGCCATAAGAAAAACAACAAGATCATGAAATTTTATTATTTTAGTTTGTTTAAAAAGAGGGCTCGAGCGTTAATCGAATGTGAAAAATTTCATAATTCTCAGTGCTCTTTTTTGCAATAAATAGAGAAGATTAAGGGTAGAATTATAAGTACTGCCCCGTACAACTAATCTATATATTAAAAATAGGTCCGCACTGCGTACATGTGGCTAGCCTTTGGGATTTAAATAAGTACGCTAAAGGCCTAAAGCGCACATGCATTTGCGTACGGTGTTAGTGGATTAGTATTTATAAGATTATAGTTCTCTTAAGTTGACTGATGTCATCTATTTGAGGACGTTTGTCCATCCATTCAGTCGGAGATTGTGTTGCAACGTGCTGGTAAACATGTGTTGTTAATGATGTAGAATGCTCACGATTCATATAGTCCGTATATTATGAAGTGTATGATTTGAGCAATTGAGAGAAAAGACTGATCCCAAAACTTTTTTGCTTTAGGTAGTGTCTGTACTCCCCTCCGCAGAGGAGTAGGGATGGCAGATTTCGTAGCGCCCTAGGATGAGAAAAGTAGGTTGCCAACATGTTTCCGTCGATTTGTTGCTGCACTAAGTCCTTGAGACTTTTATTAAAAATATTATACTAATTCTTAAAAATAGTAGCTTAAATTATAGCTTTTTTGGCATTGCCATTGTCCTAAAAGTTCAATACTTTGATGTTAACAAGGAATTAATGTACGCTAAATCATTTATTCTTTCTACTGGGGATACAGTACATTCATCATTCATTTCAGGATAGCAGGTGTTAGTTCATATGTCCAAAATTGTGATGAATACATCTTCTGTTATTAATTGAAAAGCGTCCTGAAATATGTGCGCCATTAAAGGTGCATAAGATTCCTTGTGAATTTTCAACTTCCGTGGTCTTTCATACACTACAGCTTTTGCTCCTGATCTGAAATAATTAATTGGTCACTGACAGATGGAAATCTTGTTTATTTATACAGTTTCATTTTCCAATATTTACTTTTCAGCATTATCCAATAGTAGAAACCACTTGATACATATATAAGTTGACCAACCATTAGGATATTTCCATACAGCATATCATCCAGTTGTATCAATTTAAAGGTCAGACTTTTCCTTATTTACAAATGAGACAGGTAAAATATTCTTTCAACCAGTAACATCTTCACAGTGATGTAGAGTATACAGTAAACAGTCTAGCATGATTCGCCAGGTGGAATTAAATGGTGGTAGAGATGGTTAGTTTTACCGATTATTATTTTGAGTTTTCGTTCCATCTACAATATTTAAAAAAGTAATATTACTGTACTGGAAATATGTTATATTCTATGGCCTGTTCTCCACTTCAGCCATATTGTAACATACCATATTGTTTTCTTTTAGTCAAATGTCATTAGTTCTGCATTAGTTCTGCAGTTAGTTCCCAAAGGCCAAAACAATAATACGCTACAGTATGTTTGACTACTCGCAAGCCATATTAGCATGCGAATGTGAGGTGAACCTCGCTTGCATGTACAATATATAAATTGTTGCCATAAACTAAAATCTGGTTCATAGTGGATGTGTCCCAAATATTAACTGATTTAATTTCATTATAAACAAGAGAACATAGTGACATGGCAACACATTGTTTTCCAGCATTAGATCTAAACGTCAATTGATCACCTTGGTGAAAGTCGGCATGAACTGTATAAGTACGGTCAACTATTTCATTAATATTTCTTTGAAAGTCTTAATAGCAATGGTACATGAACATGATAATAACATAGCATCTGCGCATATCACATGCACACTTCATTATATTTTTCTGTTTTATATAGTCACTAGATTTTTAAGACATGGCAAGTAAAATACTTTTAAACAGAACATCATCAACATTTGATTCCAGAATGTAAATTCCTTGAGTAAATTTATGGTGTGAACCAATTCTTGAACCATTGATCTCAATCGCTACACTCATATTTTTCAGTCAAATTCAACAGTCAATGTTGTTTTGTGTTGTGGTTTGTAAATCGTTCACCTGCAAGTTGACAGATCAGATAAGAATCCCCAAACTGGGTTTGCTCTTTACTATATACCTGCACAAATATGGCAAGGTTGGTTTTGTTTAACTGCACAATGGCAAGTTTGATTTGATTTTATATTTCAGTTTCTATTTCAGCTTCTATTTGATACGCGAACCTCACGTAAGCGCCTGATCTAAGATCAGTGTGCAAGCAACAATGGCTTCGTTCAACTTTTTGAATGTGTGCAAAAATATGGAGCCTGATCAAATATTTTTGACCAGAGCAGACCAAAATTGCGATGTTTTTAGTATTATGAATCAAAATTTTCAACAACAAATGACTAGAGATGTAAAATAATTGGCTTATCTGTATTTGTGATAAAATATTGATGTTTTATTCCCAAGTAAAATGTCATAAACATAAACTTCTAGACGTCGCCTCATGGCAATAAGGAATGAATGACGACAGTTTCCGAAGTAAAGTCGAGCACTTCCGTCACAACTCTTACAGCTTTAGCGTTTACATATTGGCTAGCTCGCGAACGGGCTAGCCAATATGTAAACGCTAAAGCTGTAAGAGTTGTGACGGAAGTGCTCGACTTTTACTTTTGGTCTCATTAATATATATAATATTAATGAGACCAAAAATGACCAAAAATGATCAAATTTTATACAGTGTAGAAAGTGTGCTCAATACCATTTAATAACGTAGAGCAAATAATTAATTTGTTAACTTAAAATATAGTCACAACTCTGAGTTTCACGTTCAATGCGATCTTCAGGCGACAATGTTTAAATCTCGATTAAAAATTCCTGTATGGATACGTGCGAGTTCGTTAGGCTACTTGCGTGATTGTATTGCGT